GGGAGCATAAGCTTTCGTGGGTAAGATCTGAAGAAGTGAGGTTCTTACCCACGAAAGCTTATGCTCCCAATACTTCTGTTAGTCTCAAAGGTGCCACAGGACCCTCTGTTGCTTTTTACAGATTCAGACTAACACGGCTACCCCTCTCATTCAGGACACTTATGCAATGAATAGAAAAGTAAACTTTTCTGTAAAACGTTCAATGAATCCTTGTGAGAGACATTCCATAGTTTATTACAAATAATCTAAATGCTTTTCTGTTAGAGTTATCAGAAATCTGCTGTGATGAAAATACTGCTTGAGATTCTCTCTTGTGGTTCATGACAGCAGTACAAACCCTTTGAATAAATGACCGCCTTGTGTTCAGTTTGGGACTATCTATTATATAATCCTGTACATCATCAGGTGACTACTTTAATCCTAAATTATACATGTATGCAATCATAAAGCATTAGAAATAGGCTCATCATTTTACAAGTATTTACCCATCCAAAGCCTTCACCCAATTATAATATATCCTAAAAGCTTAAGGAATATTTTCTGAAAGGAAAACTTTAATCTAAAACATAGTAGTGGAACAAAAGAACTTGCAGGTTTTTAAGACTATTGTAATATAACGTGATTTAATGTTTTGTTTTATTACTAGTTCTGGACTTCTTGCCTTAGGAAAGCCCTTGGACAGAGAAAGCACTGATCGCTACATTTTGATTGTCACAGCCTCGGATGGCAGACCAGATGGGGTGAGTTTCTATTGAGAGTTTAAGAAAGCATTTAGTTATCATACCAAGATGTTGGGAGCTGGAAATAATACAACCATAGAATCTTTTATCTGGGTCTTGAATGAATATATCTATGACTTGCAGCAATTTCCCTATATGCAAGAAAGGTTTGTGTAGGTTCCCTCCATGCACCACTTTGAAAATGTACCACTTTTAGACACTAAGACAAAAATGATTTTGCCAGCTCACTTTTGACATTTCTTTCTTCTGCAATAGCAAGAATAAATACAATAAATGCAATTGTTTGAGTCATCCAGCTGTGTGGGATCTTGTGACCATTCAATTTCCCTGATACATGGAGTCCAGTCTCCCTGCGTGTCTCCTTCTGCATACCATTTTGAAAGTGCTCCCTTTTATTGTGTGCAGCCATATTCTGTATCATTTTCTCTGTCCTATTAAATGTGTTACTCAATCGTAGTTCAGAATTTGCACATGGCAAATGATGTCCTAGTTCACATTTTTTTAAAGTACTTAAGGAAATCAAATTGCATGAGTGTTTGCCAAACTTTTTATGAACTATAACAGGCATTTTTCTTTTAGTTGGAAGTGTAGCAAGAAATTTGTAACTTATCTATTAGGAGTTTTTGACTTCTTTTTCTGCATGTTCTGCCAGAGGCAGTTAGACACTTAACAATGTGTCGAGCAGTTTAGATTAATCTATCTCTCATTACATTCTAATGATTTTTTAAATTACCTATTGTAATTCCGTTTCCCTTAAACTCTCTCTGCTTGTGTATTCTTGGCTTCTGCGGTCTTTGGAGTGGGGATCATCCATCTTTAGTGTTTGGAAAGCACCTTACATATAGTTCAGTCTATAATAAATAAATTTGTTGAATTACTGGCTGTTCATTTCCGGTTTCTGAACCACTTTTTCAGAACCTTAATTAAAGAACTAGAAGAAAATCATTTTACCTCTCTAAAAATGAATTTGAAGCATTTCATCTAGTATATTTTGGCACATTTAATGAAACTGTAATATGGTTCTTAAATAATAATATTACCCACACAAAAGCGTCATTAATTCAGAATACATCTACACTGCTCACTCCTTAAGGCAGTGAGTGCATAGAGTACATATGCTACCCCGTCTCTATCCCAGTATGGGTATCAATAGCAGTGTAGACAGTGAGACACTGCTTAAGTGAGTAAAGATATGCCAGAACCCTTAGGGTATGTACTGGGTATGTACCTACATGGCTCTCTACTTGTCAAGCAATGTCTTCCCATCTATTTTTAGCAGTGTAGTGTCCCTCTGCCAGTGCCAGAGCCTTTCACTGCCATGTGTAGCTACACACCATAGTGTGGATATACCTAGGTTTACACTGTGGCGTGTAACAATATGTCTCCCACATGCTGCTGCAAATGGTGTGAAGCATAGATGTACCTTCAGAGTGAAGGTCCATCAAGTACAGTTCCTGACTATAAGACAAATATTAAAAAGGGAGGAAATCATATGATAAAGAAACACTCACACCCAACACAAGTCTCTGAGCATTAGCCCACTGTAATTGTGAACCCACATTCTCTTTTAGTGGAACAATATAATTATCTTCAATGTGTATATCAAAGAGCTGAAAATCACATTTTATAATTATGCAGATATCTGTATCCAAAATGTGCTTATCCTTATACATAGAAAACTGGATGAGGTAGTAGTGGGTGTGGAGATATTAGATGGCACTGCAAGGGCACTCATCAAAGAAAGGTCAATAGACAAAGATAATTCTTAAAGTCTGCAGCAAACCCCAGATGAAAGTTTCCCATTCTACAATCTTAAGAGACGCACAAGCGTGGAGTAATTCTTTTACAGATCTTTCACCATGGAAAGAGAAAAATGGAAGAGAAATGGTTTAAAGTACCTTGGCTGAGTGTTTTTTTCTGGACCTGCTAGAAGTGCAGCACAGAATGGCTCCTCCCTGTGGGAGGAAGAGGCAAATATGACTTAGTCATTTTTGCACCCTCTCCACTCTGGACCTCTAGGAGCCAGTGCAATTCCCAGAGTGAAGTAGAGCAACCAAGGGCTGCTCTACATTATGGCACCCCTGTGACGGGTTGGATCACAGACACCCCCCTGCGAGCTGCCAACTGATATGCCAAGACTACCCCTGCTCCTATTTTCCCTGCCAGCTCATGACTCCAGCACCCTGTCTTGCTGAGCCAGAAACTCCCGTCTGCTCCAACACATACCCAGGGTCTGAATTACTTGCCCCAAAGCTGCAGGTTTACCTGAAAACAGCTCACAGAAGTGTGCTTGTCTTTAGCACTCAGATGCCCAACTCCCAAAGGGGTCTAAACCCAAATAAATCCGTTTTACACTGCATAAAGCTTATACAGGGTAAACTCATAAATTGTTCGCCCTCTATAACTCTGATAGAGAGATATGCACAGTTGTTTGCTCCCCCAGGTATTAATATATACTCTGAGTTAATTAATAAGGAAAAAAGTGATTTTATTTAATACAGAAAGTAGGATTTAAGTGGTTCCAAGTAGTAACAGACAGAACAAAGTAAGTCATCAAGCAAAATAAAATAAAATGCGCAAATCTATGTCTAATCAAACACTGAATACAGATAAGATCCTCACCAGTTCCAGAATGCTCCCTTTTACAGGCTAATCTCCTTTTAGCCTGGGTCCAGCAATCACTCACACCCTCTGTAGTTACTGTCCTTTGTTCCAGTTTCCTTCCAGTATTCTGGGGGGTGGAGAGGCTCCTTCTTTAGCCAGCTGAAGACCAAATGGAAGGGGTTTCCCACGGGTTTAAATAGACTGTCTCTTGTGGGTGGAGACCCCCCTCCTCACTCCTATGCATGACTCAGTCTTTACAGGCCGAAGCCATTGCCCACATGGTATCTTGTATGTCTCCAGGAAGACTTCTTATGTGGATTGGAGCATTCCAAGATGCATTGTTCCCCAAGTGCTTCCTGATTAGGTACTTTTAACCTTGCGAATTCCTTCCTAAAGAAACTGACCAAATGCCTCACAAAGCTTACTTAGAAACCAAGCAAGTATAAAGCCCATATTCTTAACCTCAAGTAGAAAATGATATATGTGTACAAATAGGATGAATAGATATAGTAGACCATAACCTTTATGGAGATATGTTATATGGCACAGGCAGCACAAAACATATTCCAGTTATGTCAGACATACATTTATAAGCACCCCCCCATAAAGCCCCATCCCCCAGACTGACTATGGGCCGGTTCTCAACAGTAAAAAAAAAAAAAATCCTGTACTGCTGACTGCTATTAGGATCATCCTGCTTCCAGCTGCTGGCACATCTCCTATGTTGGAGCTTACAGCCCTTTCATATAGGGGAAACCCGTGGCTGTCCTACACAGTTTGTGCTTGGGGCAAATTCTCTCCAGTGTAGTTAGTTTTTACAGCACCATAGCAATATACAGGAGCCATAACAAGACCCAGCATCTCAGCCCTTCTCTTAATAGTCTACATAAAATAATTTTAAAGTAATTATTGTTTTAATACTTTAATTCTCTTGACACTTCGACCCCTTCTCCATCCTTTAATCTCTATAAGTTCAGCTGCTTTTCCAGTGGCCATTTTCATTTTCAGCGCAGTGGCCATTTTCATCTCTTACTTTCTATAGCAAAAATTAAATCTGGAGAGTTAAACAACTCCTATTATAGTTTTGGTTATAGAAAGACTATAGTCTGCTGCTGAATAATATCAAGGCCTCATGAGGATAGTTGAAAATATTTTCCTCCTTTTTTCACCTTAAAACCCATCCCTCCGTCACCTCTTCCCCACCCAGACATCTCTTAATTCAACGTTTAAAGTAAAATCTAGTGTTATAGCAGTCCAGCCACTTCTGAAGTGCTGCTGAGTGTAGCAGCAGGGCTGGAGTTGAATGAAATGTGACATTTTTTTTCCCTTTGAAGTTAAATTGCCTAAAGTGCTGCAAAGGGACCACTGTATGCATCTCCCAGCCCTGCCCCCAACCTCTTCAGGCATCTGGGCTGATGTACAGCTTCCCTTTCACATGAAAAGTAACTGACTTTCCTTTATGTGTGGAAAGTGAAACTTCATTAATGCCCAGTTATCTATGCAGCGTGGTGGCAAGGTGGGCAGTTTCCTTCAGAGATCAGGTGCCATTATGTCATATGTGAAGAAACTTCACTGTCATTAAATGATCTAATGAAAAAACTGGTGATGACATTCCTGTGTGGTTTTAGGGCTTTATACAAAAGGAAAACATCACCCAAAGTCACAGCTGGGCAGTCAAAAACTTGGTGTTCATAGACCTGTTCTAATGTCAATCAAAAATATTCAGTGGTCCTTTGCTGTTGGGTCAGATATTTTAAATGCAAGGTGGAGTGGGGAGTTCCCAAGTGAAATCTCATTGACTCACGTGGTGGTGTCCTTTTTCTCATTATATTTCTATTATAGATAGGAAACAATGGTTACTTTTTTACGAATGAGAATTACTGCAGTTTTTCTTCTAACTGTTCCACCTTAGACTTTGTTACAGAGGTATATTCTTTTTTGGAAAAACACTGGTGTGGTGTTACTTATGAAGAGGAACACTATAGTTGGAGGAAGGCTTGTTTCAAGTACCTAAACATTGTTTAAGGAATAAAACTACTTATTACATATTTAAACACCATTAGCTGGCATAATAATCTGATTTGTTTCCATCCAGCAATATGCTACTTGAAATTAAATGAATTAAGTAGATTCAAATATACATGGAAAAGCTTAGCTTTTGCATTTAATGCAAAATCTGCTTTAAGAATTAACATGTAGAGCAAGGAAAATTACTTTTGTTTTCTGTAAAAAAAATTCCTTTCCTTAATTGTAACATGGACATTTGGCTTTGGGACATTTTGCACTCCCATTGTTCAGAGTAAGTATTAGGAACAATGGTTGAATAATCACTTTAAAATGTAAGTCATATTATCCCATTCAGGGTTTCCAAGAACACAGACATTTAGGAAATATAT